TATGCTTATCTAATTCCCTCTTGAAGCCGTCCATGCTTGTAGCCGCCGCCACCTCCTGTGGCAGTGAATTCCATGTGTTCATCACTCTTTGGGTGAAGAAGTACTTCCTTTTATCCGTTCTAACCCGACCGCTCAGCAATTTCATGGAGTGCCCACGAGTTCTTGTATTGTGAGAAAGGGAGAAAAGTACCTCTTTCTCTACCTGCTCTATCCCATGCATAATCTTATAAACCTCAATCATGTCACCCCTCAGTCGTCGTTTCTCCAAGCTAAAGAGCTCTAATCAACATTCGCCTTGTTAATTTTCAGTAGCAAAGCAACAATATATTTATGTGGTTTTGTTTCCAGCATTTTGTTAAACTTACTGAAAAATGTTTGTCAGTGACTGTAACTTAAGCTTTCCTTGTTTTCTGTTGAAACATATGTTCACCACAGCTGGATTTTAAATACAAACAGATTCAAAGCTTATATTTGGAAACTCCGTGGGCCCAATCCAGACAGTCTGTGCTCTAGAGTACAAGTAAATTGTACGGAGTGGAGAGGGAGGCTGGATCCCTATTGGATTGGGTCAAGGTGCTACTAGTTCAGCATTCTGAGTACCACAGAAGTAAGACCGATGTTCCTGCGAAGCCCAGACTAGAGCACGGATACCTTTCCAATGATGTTTGCTCCCTAGCACATGAACTGTGAGATTTAGTTATTGTGGTTAATAGTCATTCTAGACTTATCCTCCATTAATTATGCATTGTGTGACGTAGTTCTTTCTTCAGTTTTTTCAAACTTAGAAGCCACGTTCGTTTCAAATTAACATTCAACATGTGACCCAATCTTCTTTTTTACCATGTATATTGAGCTTTCTCCTATTTGTCTCTGTAGTTCTCCATTATCTCCCCTCCCCTCCCCTCTTTCTCATTTTAAAAAAGTCCCGAAGATAAGTGTAGTGGCTCTGTACACCATAGGTCAGTGCAGACCCATTTGTGGGTCCTGCCACACCAATGACCTACATCTCCTCCACAAGAATAGGTCAAACATTCTTTGATAGAATAGCCTCAGTGCTCCACATAGTCTCTGACACAACACTCAAAAGTTAATTCGGAATGAAGAAACCTCAGGAAGAGCTGCTAATACTTCATTCTCTGTGTGTGTGATCTTTAGGAGGTTAGTAGTAATATCCTCTCTAATACTATTTAAAATATACATGGAAGAGGTCCCTGTTGTATGTGTGTGTGCTTTTTTTTAAATACTGCTTTGTGAGCAATATCAAAATCAGCTCTGAATTATCCCTTCAGGAAATGGTTCCATGTATAGCTCTATGGTAAGAATCTAGTACAATTTTTTCCTATCATGACCTTAATACAACTGTTCTTTAATCTGACATAAAAACACATTTTCCTATCTGCTTTGACTTCAGTCTTTCAAAAAAGATCGTCCCAATCTAGGTTTAGGAAAGATCTCAGTAAAACGGGGGGAATGGACAGAAAGTGGACAATTCAGGGACGATTTCGAATGGATGCTCCAGAAGAACCTGCTCAGTTTGGACACCAAACCTGGAAAAACCTCCATGGGGAACGATCTGCTAACCATGTGACCTTTCTCCTTTGACTGCAGACATTCTTGAATAATAGATTTGCTGAATAGTCCACTGAAGTGCACAGTTGGAAGATATCTAGTAGGTGATCTAGCCCAGTCTTTCTCAGTTCCGCAGGGCCTGCAAGACGGAGCTCTTCCGCCAGGGTTTTGAGTACCACCACTACTCCATCATTGCTATATGCACCATCGCACCATCACCACCACTATCTGGTTCTTTTGGGCTGCGAGGTGACTCTGGCAGGAGAAGGGATGGCAGACTATGGGAATGCTACCGTTGGGATTAAGATCTACCCCATCTTGTGATAAATGGAGCACTGATATTTTGTTATTGTATTTTATTGCTTTATTGCTATGTTGTTTTTATTTGTTTTAATCTTGGCACTTTGTGCCTCTTGTTAGCCGCCCTGAGCCTTCGGGGTAGGGCAGGATATAAATCCAAAGATGAATAAATAAATAAATCTTCTTCCCTATAACTGATAGCAATAACAAGGAGTGCAACGTTTGTAAATTAATTAGTTATAATAAGCAATGGAAGTTGCTTCTAATTAAGTGGTTGCGAATTGGATGGATGCCTGCCTTGAACCACGAGGAAAGGTGGTGTATAAATGTTTTGATAAATAAATGAAAGAACGGATAATCTAATGCTTAGTTTCAGAAAAGTTAATTTCCAAGGGTGCCTTCTTGTATTGCAGCGTCTAATCTTAGTTGGCCCTTCAAGTGAACAGCTCCTCTGGAAATGCTTCCAGTGATTGAAACTTAAGGCAGTCTAACCATCTGTCTGTTTCAGGCTTAATGAATCCGCTATGGAAAACCATCACCTGGAGAATGACGCCTTTTCTGACAAATCTGAAAGAGACAACATAGAAGAATCTGAGAATGAAACGCATGAGAACAGCCGTAAGACCAATGAAAGTGAGAGTGATCAGTCTGAAATCCATGGGGAGTTGTCCCAGGAAAAGAAAGGGACAACCTATTTAGAACAGAACTATGAAGAGTTTGGAGAGGTAACAACCTTTTAAACATCTGTCCTTCTAAAGTTATTAATCACTCTAGACTTTTATCCTCCTAGAATGGAAAACTCTATACCATTTCCTTTCTTTCAATTATGCAATAACTTTCATATTATGTCCTGCAGAAATGCTACTGGCTCATTGGCATGATCCCAGTATCACTGGGACCCTGGAGCCATAACTAGGAACTGCACTAAAGAGTTGTCAGGAGGAGAATTATCACTGCATGAATGTGTTTTCTGAGCCAGTTTAATATTCCCGAGTCCAGTGAAATAAAAAGTATTGCAGTCTTTCTGTCTTATTATGCCAGAGGTCATTTCGGGGGGGGAACGCGGGGGAACGCAGTTCCCCCGGGTGAGGTGCAGGGGGGCAGGGCACATGACGAAGTCCCGCCCCTGCTTCCGGCCACCCCGCTTCCAGCCCTCATTCAGCCAGGAGGAGGCAGGAGAAGAGGGGGGGTAAGTTGCTTCCTCCCCACTGGCTCGTTGGCATGATCCCAGTATCACTGGGACCCCGGAGCCATAACTAGGAACTGCACTAAAGAGTTGTCAGGAGGAGAATTATTACTGCATGAATGTATTTTCTGAGCCAGTTTAATATTCCCCAGTCCAGTGAAATATAAAGTATTGCAGTCTTTCAGTCTTATTATGCACAAAAACAAGCTATCTGTGAGGTGTGATAGGCCAGTAGACTACATTAAATGGCTATTGAGGAGCACAGCATTAATTCTCCCCCAATTCAATAATCTCACTACAAGTTTTCCCCCTCCAGTTAGAGGATCTTTGGCTGCGGTCACACGGAGCAGTAGCCATGCTACTGCGACGGAAGATAGGTGGATTTTCCGGGCGTGATCTCACCGCCACATCTGGGAAGCGTAGAGCTCCTGTGGCGAATCCGAGGCTTCCCTCCGAAGATGCGCAGTTAAAAACTAGTACGTCGGAGGTACTAGTTTCCGGAAACCGCGGGGCAAGGGCGGGCATCTGATCGCATTTTCGGTGGCATCCAGCGCCCGCCCATGCCCCATTGCGAAAAGGTTTTTTCCCCCCGAAGTCTCCAGGGATGCGCACAAGCACCCAACGGGGCATGCGCATACTTCAGGTTAAAAAAAACAAACACAACCCCGTTTGCCGTGCCGCGCCACTTCTTTGGTGCGTCGTGTGATCGGCACCTCCCCCCGGGACCGCGAGGGGACGCCTGATCGCGCAGTCGCGCGTTATTTCGCTGCGGGGCAAACAGCCACGCTTCCCCCCCACGATATCCGGCCTGTGTGACCGGGGCCTTTGTTTGCCTAATCTGATTGTGATTTGCCTTGTTATGGAGAATCTACAGGAGCTCATGGAACTGGAATTGGAATCACTTAGTGGGGAGAGCTATGAAATAATTAAAAAGGAAAACTAGTTACAATTTCGTTATGAATGCTGCTTTTGATGCTTTCTGGAAATAACTTTTTCCTACCTATACAGGACTTTTACTGATAAGATACTGCTAGGCAACACCTACAAAAATTTGGATCAGCTAGTTATTATAAAAGTACAGTAACCACATTACAAAGCTGATAGCAAAGGGATAGGATATTTGGCTTCTACAGAAATAATGCAGGAGAAAATGAGACATTCCAACAAGTGGCAAAGTTCCACTAACAAATCCCCTTAGTAAAGGTATGGGTATTCCTGGAGTAACACAGTTTATGCTGTCTCAGTTTCTAGTGCTGTTGTATTTTACCACTGTTCTCATTTTAGATACCAATCTAAGCGTGTTTATGAGAGGGTTTTCTAATTTAGCAAGGGAGAAAGGGCATAGGAAATTAAACACTAATTTCACATTCAGTCCTATTAACCCCCCCTTTAATGAAAATATTGATGAGAATTCATTGAAACAACACTTCATTCACCTTTTGGAAGATGTACCCACCCATTACTTTTTAAAAATTCTTCCCCAGACTTGCGTACACCGTATTTTGCACGTCTTGTGTGACTCTTGAATCCACTGACAAAGACAGTGTTGTGAATTGGGGAAGCGTTACCCTTCTCATTTATTAAAAATTTGTTTGTATTTGGATTTTCCCACTGCCCCTAATAAACACTATAAACATACCATGCTTAATGTGTTCCCACCATGTATGAAATAGGGTTAGATTATTCCAATATATTAGGAAAGGAGCAGCTATTTATAAATATAACTAAATTAAATTCTTATCTGGCCAGATTTCTTCAAATGGCAACAGTTAGAAGTATGGTATTGTGCTTGAGGGATTTGACTTACAATGGTTGGAAGGACTGAATTTCCATTCCAGCATAGAATGTCCTCTGCAGGGCCAAGATCAATGCTTCTGATAAGAGTGCTGACAGATCAATAATCAGCATAGCTTGTAGCAACACTATTGCAGTAGCTTTCCATTATTGGAGGATCATCAAGCTTTGGGATGTTGTGCACAAGATGGATTGTAACTAATAAAAACCAGTGGAAAACAACAAGTTTTATAGTTCCTCAGTTGGCAAGTTTTTGGTTTGATCAAACTGTGCTTTATTGTGCTATACAATTGACAAGGGAGCTGAACTTCCTTGAGAAAATTGCCCAGGGTACATTGCTGGTTGGGGAATCCCTGGAGAACTGGAGGTGGAGGCCGGGGAGGATGTGGTTTGGGTTGGGAGGTCCCTCATCAGGGTATAATGCCATAGAGTCCACCCTCCAAGGCAACAGTTTCCTCCAGGGGAACTGATCTCTTATGCAGGGCTCTTTTTGTAGCATATTAGGTGACACCTAATGTAGCCAATCCTCCAAGAGCTTACCTGTAAGAAGAGCTCTGTAAGCTCTTGGAGGATTGGCTACATTAGGGGTGTGTCGCCTAATATACAGAGGAGTCCCTGCTACAAAAAGAGCCCTGCATGGATGGATGGATGGATGGATGGATGGATGGATGGATGGATGGATGGATGGATAGATAGATGGATAGATAGATAGATAGATAGATAGATAGATAGATAGAGGGATAGATAGAGGGATAGATAGAGGGATAGATAGAGGGATAGCTCTTTTTGTAGCAGGAACTCCTTTGCATATTAGGCGACACACCCCTAATGTAGCCAATCCTCCAAGAGCTTACAGTAGCCCCTGTAAGAAGAGCTCTGTAAGCTCTTGAAGGATTGGCTACATTAGGGGTGTGTAGCCTAATATGCAAAGGAGTCCCTGCTACAAAAAGAAGCCCTGGTTGTATGGAGAGTAGTTGTAATTCTATGAGATTTCCAGGTACCATCTTAAGTGCTGTGTGGACCAGAGGCCGAGCACAAGAGATCACTCCTTTGGAGCCAGCTGGCCCTTTTTTCTGCATAAAAGGATAGCACTTCTGGGGCACGCTCTTGCATTGTGGGTCTGCCCCATCCACATGCCCTAGCTCTCTCCTTGTCTTGCAGGAAGAGGAAGAGGAGGGGGAAAGGGAAGAGCACGACTGTCCTTGGCAGAGAGCTAGCTAGTAAAAAGAAAAGCAACAGCTGGAGATGTTATCAGCTTTCCATAGCTCTTCTTGCCTTTAAGTTCTAGCCCTTAGTATGGTGGGTATGGGGCTCTTACCCCCATACGACATACCTCTACCGATTGTTATCTTTAGGGAACAACGTGGAGCAGTCTAAGAGTAAATAATGATTCATAAGTTGATCTGTAGAAGTTACGTTAATATACAGTTAACATTTCAGGTTGTGCCTTCCCGCTTGAGTTGCTCAGTTAGAGTACAACTAGACGTGGAAAACCAAAACCGCCCATTTATAGCCAGTTTGGTGTAGTGGTTGGGTGCGCGGACTCTAATCTGGGAGAACTGGGTTTGAGTCCTCACTCCTCCACTTGCACCTGGCTGGATGCCCTTGGGCAAGCCGTAGTTCTGATAATGAGCTGTTCTTGAAAAAGAGCCGTTTCTGTCAAGAGCTCTCTCAGCCCCGCCTACCTCACAGGCAGTGTTCCCTCTAAGCTGAGTTGGTGTGAGCCAGCTCGCAGTGTTTTAGCCTCCAGCTCGCACATTTTTGCCTTCGCTCAGGAAGGAGGGCTCCAGAGCAAACTGATTGATGCAGCAGCCAAACCGCTCGCTCACAACTTCAATGCCAGTAGCTCACGAAGTAGAATTTTTGCTCACAAGACTCCACAGCTTAGAGGGAGAATTGCTCACAGGGTGTCTGTTGTGGGGAGGGGAAGGGAAAGGAGTTTGTAAGCCGCTCTGAGACACCTTTGGGTAGTGAAGGGCGGGGTATAAATCCAATCTCTTCTTCTCTTCTTCTTCTATACGAATATACTTATATTCATATCTTCTTCTCTTCTTCTTCTTCTATATGAATATACTTATAGATTACCACTGGGAACAGTCCATGCATTACACAAAGTGTCAGATCTGTGGGTAGCGTCCGATGTTCCAACAGAATGTTCCAACAGAACACGTGAAGGCATGATAAAAATCATTTGGATGTTGTAACTTAGGAAGGCATCTTTTAAGAACGCCATTTCCTCCCGTGCAAGCGTGCAACTCGTGCTCTCAGCCGAGCACAGCCATCTCATTGCATTCCCGCTTAACTAAGCTTCGGTATAATTATCGTTGTCATTTGACCTCTCCTCTTTCACTTTAGACAGGTGAAACCTCTCAAACGGAAACGGTGTCAGACGAAAACAAGAGTCTGATGTGGATCCTTCTGAAGCAGCTGCGGCCTGGCATGGACCTGTCTCGTGTGGTTCTGCCTACTTTCATCTTAGAGCCACGCTCCTTCCTCAACAAGCTTTCAGATTATTACTACCATGCTGACCTACTTTCCCAGTAAGCAGCACTTGCGGATGGCTTTCTGATGATGCAGTGTGCAGATGTGCCGGAGTGTTAGGCTGATGACAACGCGGGGGCATTTGTCTGCTTGAAAGAACTCCTAATACCCTGGTTTCTCAAAGTCAATCTGTGGCTGTGGCACATTATAATCAGGAATCCTCTAGTGACCTCTAGATATATAAACTGTTCGTGAGAGATGTGAGGAAAGTAAGGAAAGCGATCTCTGTTGTGCTTTGTACTAGACCTGATCAGTGTTCCCTCTAAGCTGAGTTAGTGTGAGCTAGCTCACAGTTTTTTTAGCCTCCAGCTCACACATTTTTGTCTTCGCTCAGAAAGGAGGGCTCCAGAGCAAACTGATTTATGCAGTGGCCAAATTGCTCGCTCACAACTTTAATGCCAGCAGCTCATAAAGTAGAATTTTTGGTCACAAGACTCCACAGCTTAGAACATTGGACCTGATCCTGCTAACTGGTAATCAGGAACCGTTGCCCTAACCAATGCTCCCTCTAAGCTGTGGAGTCTTGTGACCAAAAATTCTACTTTATGAGCTGCTGGCATTAAAGTTGTGAGCGAGCAATTTGGCCACTGCATAAATCAGTTTGCTCCGGAGCCATCCTTCCTGAGCTAAGACAGGAATGTGTGAGCCGGAGGCTAAAAAACTGTGAGCTAGCTCACACTCACTCAGCTTAGAGGGAACACTGGCCCTAATGACTGACATTTAGGTGTAAAGATTTATGGAACCAAGACAACAAGCATACAGGAAGATATTTTGAACATTGCTACCCTCACATAACGCCAGTTCAATGGGGATGCTTTGGGGATACAAATAGGAACATGTTTTTTTTTGGTTTTTTTTAAAAAAGATTGGCAGCCTGAGAAATTTTCTCCTACAGAATAAGGCACGAGCTAAAATGAGAATTGTGTTATGGGAAATATGTAAGCGTTGGATCGCAGCTAGATGCTTTTTATTTTATTTTTAAATTCCAGACTGCTTTTGATATTAATTTTAAGAATCAGATGTGAAAAACACCTCAGTGCCAGTGTTCCTTCTAAGCTGAGTTAGTGTGAGCTAGCTCACGGTTTTTTAGCCTCCAGCTCACACATTTTTGTCTTAGCTCAGGAAGGAGGGCTCCAGAGTAAAGATTGGCAGCCTGAGAAATTTTCTCCTACAGAATAAGGCACGAGCTAAAATGAGAATTGTGTTTATGGGAAATATGTAAGCGTTGGATCGCAGCTAGATGCTTTTTATTTTATTTTTAAATTCCAGACTGCTTTTGATATTAATTTTAAGAATCAGATGTGAAAAACACCTCAGTGCCAGTGTTCCTTCTAAGCTGAGTTAGTGTGAGCTAGCTCACGGTTTTTTAGCCTCCAGCTCACACATTTTTGTCTTAGCTCAGGAAGGATGGCTCCAGAGTAAATGAATTTATGCAGTAGCCAAATTGTTCACTCACAGCTTTAGTGCCAGTAGCTCACAAAGTGGAATTTTTGCTCACAAGGCTCCACAGCTTAGAGGGAACATTGGTGTGCAAGAAGCTGAAATGGCTCAGGGGAAATTGCAGATTCCTGCAGTGCTAAGTGGATGCCTGAAAAATGGAAGATATACAGAAGTAGCTTTTAGTGCATTTCACCCATATGTTGCTGCAACGTTTATAAGATGTGCACAATCTCCCTTTGAATGTTTATTCTGCTGTAGAATTTCCTAAAGCTCTGTGTTCTTTATTAAATAGCCGTTATAACCCTACGGTTATCTAAAATTATAATGTGCCATATGCACAGAGAGACTAAGGTATTAGGTACACTATGCTAGAGGTGCCCATAATAAAATGAAGAGATGTAACAGAATGTACCATGATGGTTTATGTAAACAACCCTTACATATTATACTGGATGCATCTTAGCTTGACCCTCCATTGGCAAGTAGATGCTGAAGGCTAGTCAGATCTAAGACATTCAGGAAATTCCTTTCAACTTCTGTCGTATGAGTACACACTATTAAGTTAGATCTAGCGATCTGTTGGGTTAAGCTGATCTTTGCCATGTCCACCACACCCCAACAATCCTTTTCAGTCCCCAGAAAGTTGATTCCCAGGATCATGGGTCCACATGGAGCAGAGAAGGGCATGAACTGGCTCCTGCTTCAGCAAGCTTCCCCATTCCCCCTTCTTCATTACAACCCCTAAACCCACAAACCTAGGAACTAACTTTCCTGGGGTTGGAAGGGACTGCTGAGGAAGGGGAACATGGCAAATATCTGCATCCCCTGGAGCAGGGGTGTCGAACTCATTTGATTTGTTATGAGGGCCAGATCTGACATAAATGAGACCTTGTTGGGCCGGGCCATGTGTGTCATAAAATGTAATGCCAGGTAGCGGAGATATAAACTTTATAAAGGACACAAACACAAAGGCCTTTTTTAAATTAAAATAAAAACATGCTTAAAACATTAGCAGAAGACAGCCAGTTACGCTGCGGGCCTGATAGAAGCCCTCCGGGGGCCTGATCCGGCTCCCAGGCCGCATGTTTGACACCCCTGCCCTAGAGTCTTCTGCTGAGCCCAATTCATAGCTACCAGTTTATTCCCTGTCTCACTTAGTAATGGGGAAATTTGATAGGGTTCCACATTAATCTGTCTGGTTCTGGTGTGATTCCATGGTGGAGTCTTGTGCTAATAATCAAAACCACTTAGAGTAATTGGAATGGATATTTCCCAACAGAGCTGCTCTTGAAGAAGATCCATACTGTCGAATCAAACAAGTCTTGAGGTGGTACCTGTCAGGCTTTTACAAGAAGCCAAAGGTAAGACAAGGGCTTAAATCATATTCACATTGGTATAATATTCCCTTGGAGACTGTTGGCTATATCGTGGAGGTTTAACCTTTCGCTTGCTTAAAAGCTGGCATTGCAAGCCTACAAATCTTCCAGAAGCAGTAAAAGGGCACTTCATTAGTGTAAGTGTTTTGTGGTCAGGAAGAAACAGAATTGTTACTGACTAATGTGTTCTAAATATAATTTACTGCTCATAAACCTTCCAGAAATACAGCCAGGTTAAAAACACAAACAATTCAGCAATCCGCTCCATCTTTAAAAGAAAGTTATTTTCTGAGGCTTTAGTTAACAGGTCCAGTCTGAAAATGGGCTGGGATAGAAGGGAAAACATGGGTAAAACATCAGGTAATTGAACTTCCTGTTCCCCCTAAAATACAATCATGCCTGGAGCCCCTCTTTCTACATTGCTCAAATCCAACCTAGAAAGGTTCAATTATTTATTATTCTTGTAGTTAATTACCTGTTGTTGCTTAAACTGGGAACATATTTTTCCATTCCAGAAATTACCGTTCCTCTTTTGCCATGTTAAGGCAGTTCATTCCTTCACAGAGCGTTACATTTTGGGAAATGTCCCAGGTCTCTTCTCACCAGTTGAACATTATAACCCGTTAACTCAGCTAGTAGTTCAGTGCTTTTTAAAAAAATCATAGACTGGCTTAAGAATTCGATGACCGTTATAAATTTCAGAACCTTTAAACACATTTTGCTCTGTTTTTAGCCTTCCTTTAACTTTTCTGCTGTTTTCTGAGAGGGCATTAGGCATTAAGATTTCCTATGCACCAATGAGGATTAGTACTTTAAATATTATTCAGATGTTATCATATTGGAGTTCCTAAAGTAAAGGTCGTTTTGAGACTCCTATGCTAGAACTAGAACAAAACAGTGATATAGCAATATAGCAATGTTATAATGTTGGGACAAAATGGGCAGTGAGGTTTCATGTAGCCTTTTCCATGCAGTTACCCATCCATGAAGTTCCTTTCCTTCCCCTTCCCCTTCCCCTTCCCTCTCTCTCTCTCTTTTTGGTGGGTAGGTTTTGTCGTCTCACGCTTGTATTGTTTCTTCATCCCCCCCCCCCCCAATCTTCCTCTATAGCTCCTGGTGTGTTTTCAATGACAATTCAGTCTTTTGAACATCTAAAAATAATGGAATTGCGTAATTGATTTAATGGAATTGTGTAATTGATTTGATAATCAAGGAAACTCAACATGTGCAGTGTTTTCATTTAGCGCACTTCATAATGATTGAATAACACTTATGAATTGGTGTATCCAGTTCGATGATCGCGAATGGAATACTATTTTCATTAGGATTGCGTGGGAATCTTCACCAGCCATTTCCTTAGTTGGTAACTAAGGAGGAACAGGGGAGCTTTGAAATGGCGGCAACCATTCTATTCCCCATGATACATCCAACCTTTTTCCCCACAGCGTTATGCAAACTGTAGTGGAGTTGCAGCCGACTTTGCACAGGCATATGTGCGCGCGCACACACATGTTGCCAATGACCACAGTTTGCAGTGCCAGTGTCAGTGGGTTCTACTGTGGATTCTGTGAACTCAGCATGTTCCCTCATATTGTGAAAACAAGAAACAATTTTTCAAAACATTTTTCACAGTTATTGATAACACAGCAGAGAATCCCCTAGTGCTCAGCAATATGGAAAATAGGGATTTGCATCTGCTTGTCAGTTTCAAAAAAAAAAGTTTGGTCAGTTTCAACATCAGGTTTTCCCCCTTTGCCTGCATTCCTTTCTGTTCCCTTTCATTCAACGAAATGATGCTAAAATGCATGTGTAAAACCTGAACCACGCGGGTTTAAATAGAAGGTGCTTGCTGGATGCTACTGCACAGCTGCAATACGGCATTTGCCTAATTTTAAAAAAACAAACCTCTGGACACCACCCCCCACATGTCACAAGTAACGTTCCACCCCGATTTAGAAATGTGCATTTTTTTTAATGGTAGTCGCAAAATAAACACACTTGAGGGGAAAGAATGATGCGTAAGGCAGGCGCAGAATCCAAAATCAAGATTAAAGGCTTACTGCTCTGAAAATCTACAGTAAGATGTGCGCGCATAATGGGTCCTGGGGATTCAACTCACTGGGAAACAGCTGCAACTCTGAGCTGTGGGAAAGGTCCATGTTTGTTCTAAGCTTCACCAGATCTTGGTACTTGCAGACCAAGGTTGGAATTTCTATGAACATCTCTGAAGTTAACACAAACTACTCCTTTCTTGATGTTCCAGTGGGGGCGTGGGATAGCAGCAGGATGCACCTCTGCTTTCTGGCCCTGCCAGGACTGATTTAGAGAGAAGCTTGAGCTGCGGTGGCTCAAGTGGTTAAGACACTGAACTGCAGGCTGTGGAAGGTCAGTAGTTCAGCAGTTCGAGACCCGAGTGTGCCGCATGACAGAGTGAGCTCCCGTCTCTAGTTCCAGCTCCAGCTCCTGCCAACCTAGCAGTTCGAAAGCAAGAAATTGCAAGTAGATAAATAGGTACCACTTCAGTGGGAAGGTAACAGCGTTCCGCGCGCCTTGGTGTTTAGTCATGCCGGCCACATGACCACGGAAACGTCTTCGGACAGCGCTGGCTCTTCGGCTTTGAAACGGAGATGAGCACCGCAACCCTAGAGTCGGATTCGACTGGCTTTCGAGCAAGGGGAACCTTTACCTTTACCTTTTTGTTCTTTCCATGGCTGCTATTCATTCTTCTCGGAGCAACCCAGGTCACACTTTGAGAATCCCTGGTGTTAAAAGAACCTGTACGGTATACAAAATGACATCTAGATAGCATGTTCTGCATAGGCCACAGTCCCGCTGTCATCGCATAAAGGAACCGGGAAACCTGGATGCTGATTTGCACACACACACACACACCCAGGCACCAAGAATACATCAAGGCAGTTCAAGGGGGCTGAGAGAAACATCCTAATGTGGATCCATATTTCCATCTTTGTCTGTAATACTTGCAGAAACCTAATTCCTCATCCTGATTTCTTTTTCTGGATTGAGATGATAATCTATGCGGACCCCGTGTGCATGTCATAATGCAGGTCTGGATAATTTTTTTCTCTCTTACAGGGAATAAAAAAGCCATACAATCCCATTTTGGGAGAGACCTTTCGTTGCTGTTGGTTTCACCCGCAGACAAATAGTCATACATTTTACATAGCAGAGCAGGTAAATCAAGTTTGCTATATACATCGGGGGTGGGGGTGGGGTGGGGGGGAGAAAGATTTGAGTTGATGTGAGTATGATCTCCCTTTCCTTCCTTGCAGGTTTCTCATCACCCTCCTGTATCAGCCTTTCACGTCAGTAACCGGAAGGATGGATTCTGTATTACTGGCAGCATTTTAGCCAAATCCAAGTTTTATGGTAAGGACCATTCAAAGAGATGGTGGGGGAAGAGTCCACTCATCTGCCGCATTCCTAACCCTGCCTTTGCCTTCTGTAAGCTGAAAGAAGAATAAAATAGGCTTCATCCCGAAACATAACCTTTTTAAGATTAGTGGAGTGCATTACTAATGTACTTCCTCTTTCCCAGTGCCTGGAGACGTTTTGCAGTTCTTCTTCAATAATTATATGTTTAGGACGACAAAGGATGGTTGTGTATGTGTATAAACACACACAACACATATATCTCTTTATGCACGAAATGGTCTCCTTTTTTAGAATATGTTTTCAATAATGACACTTCTAAATTTGCTGTTCTTTCTCAGTATGTTGCAGTGTTTCATTACATGTAATTTTGTGTTGGTCATATTTATACTAAATCCCATTGTTGTTTATTGTACTATAGACTAATAAAATATTTAAAAAAACAAAAAAACACATATATGTCACTTTTAAAATGAAAATTCAGAAAGGGCAGGTAGCTTGCTTGAAGCAAGAAAGGAGAAAAAGGCAAGACTGGCGGATCCAGCATTCATCCTGTTGATACGTATGTGTTTCAGAGCTAGAATAACACCCTGGGGTAAAGAACCTGGTGTGACTCTTGTTGAAATGTTATGTCTGCTTCAGTCTAAACTGTGATATGAACACTATTAAGAAGATTTATATAACTTTTTAGACTTTATAAAATTGCAAAA